ATCCACTTATGTGAGGTCAAATTTTAAGTTTTTCTATGCAACGTGGACGTCAAGTACATTCAATTTCTAACCGTTACGATCGTGAAAGAGAGTGAGTGTAACATGATGTTCACCGCTAGAGTGTTGAGATATTCGAGCGTACATGGAGAAAAGCGGAAGTTATGGGAAAGCAGAAATTCTGAGCCCAACTTCAGGCAGTCCGTAGTGCGCTTTGTTTCAAGGAATGTTGGCCATTTGTCACGATTCTAATCACACACCGGATAAGAAACCAAGCCGAAACTGATAGCTGTTGGCTCCTAGAAGTTGTGCTAAGTTTGCCCTGGGCAGATTGTTCGGAACTAGCAATTTGTCCACTTTTCAGATTTTGTTTGTTTCGCTTGCAAATCACTTGGTTTGTTCACTCCATATTTTTGACAGTCTTAAAAATGTATTTGTGGTTACATGCTACCAGTGCATCTTTTTATTCTGTCTAGCAGCCCGGTGAAAACCTCAAGCCATGTTCTCAAATCCAGAGGTAAAAATACATAGCTTAGCTGAATACTATCAAGGCGTTACGAGTAGTCATGCTCATTTGCCCGTATCCGCCTTTCAAGAAGCTGTTGACGTGCCTATCCGTACGTATAACTGGAGGCGCCGTCCTTGTTTTATTTGAAATGTATACTTGTACTACGCGACTGAGCTGCGATGCTACCGACTTTCTTTCTATCAATTTTTATTCAGATTGTGATGGGTAGTAATTGCAACTGTGTGTAACGCAGCTGTTCGTGATGGCCAGTGCTTGGCCAATCCTTTCCCCCATTCTAGCTTTCTTCTTGTCACAGAATTTTCCCATAACTTACTATTTCATCTGTTTATCTTGCCAGGTTACTATCCGCTCATATTAATGTATATTATATTATATGTATTATTTCAAATATCATCATATTATTATGTATAATATATATTATGTAGCATTACATTAATATTCACCACATTTTTTTCGTTTTTTATCCGTTTCGAAAATTGGACGAGATCAGGCACGCAGCTCAAAAGCACTAGAAGATAAATTGACAATCCGCGTTGCAACGTGTTAACCTACTGAAGAAATCCGTGAAATAATTATCGATTTATTCACATAGAGTTTAAGTTGTGCCCATTAAGGTCATGCTCTTCATGGTGCAATAAAAAGGTCTGAAAAGTCAAGCAAGAATAAACGGTCGGAAAATAGTCGAAGGTTCGACGTTCACTAATGGTACACTTGTAAGGATAGGCTGGGCGAGTTTGCGTGCGCTTCAGATAGAACACATTGGTGATACCCAGTTACTACACTAGGGCTAAATGCGAAGGTTTGTGTATGCTAAGATTTCGTGGTTAATTAGGTATTTCCTCTGCTATCGAACTGCACACCAGACTTCCACGTGCCATCGAACTACGTCTCGATGTGTGTGTACGAGCAGAACTGCACCGACTAGCGGACATCGATTCCCATCCTTCACCACTTTGTTGCTGATGCGAAGAAAGATTTGAGTCTGCCAAACGACTCCGTTCTTGCTCCATCTCCTCACAAAGTTTTGCCGTTATTTCACACGTTGTTTCCTGCCGTCGACCATTCAACCAGTAGGTACGAATCACTCCTCCATCCTGTCAACAAAAAATGAACAAACTACAGGTTACTAAGACTTCATGTTGATGGTTTTCTCCAAGCGCCATGACAAGAATTCAGCCGTATTTCTTCTCTGGGATAAAAATAACGTCCTGAGCAAACTTATATGTTATTAACAAATGTTCCGTCAACATAATGATCATACTTGAACAACAAGCGCACTTTAATCAAAAAGTCGGTTCACACCATCAGGTTAATCTTGTGGATAAACTTATCAAAGATGTGGTGAGGCGTGAACTACATGCAGGGTACAAATTATGAAGCCATTTTAAAAAAGGGTGATTGCTATTCACATTGTTATCTAAACAACTAGGCTCTGCTTAGACAGTCTGATTATCCGCGTCATCATAAACAAAATGCCGAACAGGCCTGTTTCCGAAAGTGGGTTCGGCGACTTTCTTATGTCTAGTTTGCACAGTAAGGCGGTAGGAATGGTTATGAAGCACTGTGAGACATCTTGCTTTTAGTTTTATCGTATAACCTCGATTGCGACTTTATAAACTCCTCCCAAACAACGATCCCTCTCACGTTTGGATTCTCCAATTTTCCTCGCTGAAATAGGTGGGAAATTCTTTACAAGGATGACCTCCAGACAAAGACATCCCCAACCGCCACTTACCACCAGAAGGCCTCAATAATCCCGCATCACTGTAGCAGTTGCTGTTTCAATACCTTTCAAAAGTTTACTCATGCTTTTGTAGTCAGATCACCCAACAAATATGCCTTATTGAGTTGCCATTTCAGATCGCAGTTCAGATTATCTTGACTACCGTAATCGATTTTCACCCACAGCACACCATTGGGCTTGGACGATGTGGTGGACTGAAGTGCCATGTTTACCATTTCTTCGAACAGCTCGTACCAACTTACTAGGCGCACAGTTGCTAGGCTTTGAACTTTAAAGTCGGTCATAACAAACAGGTTATTGAACTTATCCCTTTGGAGTAAGAACACACCCAAACACCAAGCTACATCTTGTAAACGTGTAAACGGTCAAGTCATTTGCGATCCAATGACTGGATACCCCAGACATTGTAATTTACGCACGCACTTCATATCCGGTCGCAAACCTCAAGAGCAGCCACAGGTTTCGACACTCTCAAAACGAAAACCAGGAATGGCTCATTTACTGCGTGATTGGGAAACCAAGGCAGACTGGACTTTCCCCAAGACAGGTCCTTATACAGTAAGATAACTTTATAACAAAGATATGATTCTATGCTGTGTATAGCGAGTTCTACCGAATAAATGCTGTGTAGTTTTCAGTTTAATATCTTTTGTGTCTAACAAAGACTAGTACATGAAGCAGTACTTGAATATCAGAAAGACTTCATGTCTGCTAATTTTTTTTAAGTCTGTTGTTGCTTCTGTCGATTTTTTCACTTTGATAACAAACAGGACTGGCTGTTTATCCTTAGCCAGACCGACCAAGTCGCATTCTCATGACACCATGGAGGTTGGGAAGTGAAACCTGAACCTGAATGAACTAAAACGACTCACTAGTAGCTTACATGGGCGAAGTTACACCGCAGCGTGGTCTTGTGAGTTTGTCGGAGGAAAAGAGACGCATACAACCATAATCAGTACAACGATGTTGATAATCTGACAGTATTTGCGGTTGTGTTCAGTTCATGCTGTCGATGGTCAATGCGGAATATCCAAGACGAATGATACATCGGATGGGTTGGTTCATGTAGAGGGAAAACGCTCCTTTAAAATTTCGAATACTGGGACGTCGAAAATGTCCTGCACGGTAGCTGAAAAGCCACACTCAGTTAAGAAGAAATTTAACAGCCAGCCGTATTATTGAAGTGCACGGGTAGTTATTGAATTGCACCTCCCACTATCTAGGATCAACAAATAAGTGGCTTCGCGGGTGCCAACCAGTACCAGATAACCAGTTAGGTTTACAGTTGTTTATGAAGAGCAGAATCTTGGCCTCAGTTTGGTCTGCACCTATTGCAACAGGTGGCGACCACATGTCTTTTGCCTAAATCACGTGCGATTGCCCGTATGTATGCTGAGTGCACGTGTTTTGTGGTTCTGTGCTGTCCACAGGTCAGTACTTTCTATCACGTCTGACATTTGACGAAAACACTGATTGTAGTCAACTTCTCGCGTTTTTCGATAAAGCGATATCTTTAAGGTTGCTCTCAAAACGATTTTAGGTCACACAGTTATTGGAACTACTGCGATAACCAAGCTACCCCAAGTGTGGTTATGAGGAAAACGGGAAGGGAATGTCCCTCACATTGTCGTTTTTGGCTCTCTTGTACACACTGAAGAATATCTATGCGGGTTGTAGAGCCCCAAACTTATTATGCCACCCTTGCACATTTCAAGAACCCTTCGAGGGTTAACTGCAATTGATCACCCCCCGTGAATCAGGTTGGCCCAACTCAGACGGATCACCCCCGTGAATCAGGTTAGACCAAACTCAGACGTTAATAAACACAAATGATTTTCTATGAGGACTGCCAAGGATCATTCCTTGTGACAAACTGAAAAGCGAAGTAATTGGGAGTATGGATTATTGCAGACAGCAAATATCAGGCAGAAATATGTACGAAAAGCGTGACCACACAGAATTTGAATCGCAAAAAATGCACACTTGGAAATACGGTCTGGAATAAGGACTTTAGTAGTAACGTTTCTGAAAATCCGAGTGAAGGTTATGAAAACCGACATTTAGCAGCTTCTTTTTTGACTTCGCATGAGGGTAACAATCCACAAACTACCGTCCTTATATCCCTTGACCGTATAAATGACTCATTCGCCAGTGGTTTACTCACACAAGTTTAGACAAAACCAGGCAACTCATCGATCTGTCGTAAATTAGGGTTTCCAAAAGTCTTGATGAGCTATGAAGGGTTTGAATTGTTCTCACTGATTCTCTTTTACACGTCCATTCAATGGTGTCAGTGTATGGCATACGTTCTGCTTCATCCTTGTGCAGCTTGATCACAATAAATGTGTACGTCTAAGTTTAGCCTGCAGCGCTTTTTCGTAATCCTATATGGACGCAGATTGTGATTTAAAGACTAGAATTCTTTGTGTTTCGTCAAAGCTGTTATTCGGCTTATGCATACCTGTAACGGTCAGTGTGTATTTTGAGACCCGCTACAACAAAACCTCTTGACCCAGAAGTTTTTTGGGCTAATACACTCCGTCTGAGCTGAATACCCGATGTGCATCAATGGCGGTTTAATTGAGACGACGAGCTATACGTCTGCAAAATATCGCTGACCAGTCCAACCTTGAAAATCTAAGATTATCAGGTTTGCGCATGTGTAGTATCAGAATCACAAGCAGGGATATTTAGACATCCGATTTAACTCGACCGGTGGCCCTCACTTACCTTTAGCTGTGCATCACCCTTGGGGCTCATATCGTATACTCCGTAAACTTTCAGCTTTGCGTAAGTCGTCTCGCTTACTTGAATCTTCTGTGGCTGTTTTAAGATCAGATAAAAACAGTGAATTATTACCAGAGTGTGATGAAAATGGCAGCAGAATGATTATAGATTAGCCAGAGTCATCTCCCTGAACAAAGACCAGTCATAAGGAGCTGCCTAAATGGTCTTACTTAGGTGGCTAGACTACATAGGAGGGGATAGCCTTCACCGACCGTACAAGCAGTTACCACCCTGAGTATCGCATATTTCTAACGAACGGTTACTGTTACCAAGACGAACTCATTTGGCAATGGGCTTGGATGAGTCTTGATAAGACCCTTATCGTAACGGTTTACGCAAGTCGACTGTGGGCTATATGTGGATCGTTCACCACCAAATTGGTGTTATCAGCACAATCCAGAACCCAAATCCTGCTGTTATATAAAAGTTTTACTTCAAGTCAGCAATTTCAGACACAGTTCTCTCCAGAACAGCAAATAGTGCAGAAATGAACAGAAAATAGGGAGTGGGAGACCCTTGCCGATCAAGTCTGATAACAAATAAGTCCTTGAAGAGTTGGCCGTACACTTTGACACGTTTGGATGTTTTATTGAGCATACTCCTATCAAGTACAGGGTTTTGTACTTCAAAGCCAAACGATGTCTCTACATTACTCTTGTTTGAATGGCCTTGATCTTGGTGCGTCTCTTCTAGTTAGTTCACACCTATGTGGAGAAGTACTAGTCCTTAGTTTGTCCTTTTTGTAATTTGGGGATCGAAATAAGTTCATAGACTGTGGAAAAGCTGCCGAAAAGTCTTGCCAAAGAGTTTGGTGTGCACGAACGCGCCGTTTTGTCGTCAATACTACTCACGTTCTACTGACTCCTTGAAATTTTCCAGACAGCACACTCTGACGAATTATGCTGGTGACAATACCCAACAATCGAAAAATAAAACATATAGCAGCATGTAGTGGGTACGTAATATCGTAGCTTAACCTATCAAGATTTACTGAACTTGTTTCCACACTGAGGATGAGCAATACGACGTAAGTTCACTTATTAGTGTCCTATCTACCTTCAGTGAGTGGACACCACCGCGAGCTAATCGTATAGATGTACATGTAGATTATATATTCCTAGATTGCATTATTTTATACGGGGGCGTTCTTCCCCATTTAGTGCCTATTCGCTTATCTGGAATTCGACACTTCCTGAACCATTTCACTTAGAATATCTCTCTGTTCACCTATCGCTTCCAACGGATTGCTGGAAAATTGTATATTGGATTGTATACTGGGATTTAATCAGCTTCTAGTCATAGCAGCTTCGAGTTCCGGATAAATACCTGAGTAGAAAACCATATGGATGCCTGTATAAATCTTTTTAAGACAGTCGTTTGCAATGTCTTCCACCCAATACATTCATGTATGATGAACTGCTTCCGGAAACCCTTATTGTGAAGAATCCGCCTGCTTTTGTATACAAGAAAGTTTGCACGTAAAATCTGTAGGTTTTCTCAACCTTCCCATCTGGATACCTCATGGTTTTAGTCGAATTAGCCGAATTTTTAGTACCACTATGTGAAAGGTTTCAAAAGCACTCGGTAAACTGAGCGATGCTTCACTTTTAACACAAAAGCTTCGTAATGGTGAATGACCAAATTTTTCATCGGGTTTGGTTTCTTGATCTTGCGGTTCAAGGCACTTCAATTGATCATTCACCTTGAGTGCCACTGGTAAAGTTACCAGTTCACACGATCTGACGAAGCTTTGCATAAAAAGCGAAACGTTGTCCAGTTAAAAGCTACTAAACCTTTCTGAAACGATGACTTCTCCATCGGTTCCAAACTTGCTCCAATTAATGTGTGACTTGTTTGTTCTCCATCGTGGAACAGTTCCGTTCAGTTAAGCCTTTCACTTTTTCTCTGTCCATCAACTTGGGTTCGACTGAACCAACCTTGTCTTCCATCTTCACGCCAGACTGGCGCATAGTGAACCAGTTTCATACATGGAAATTTTGGATGTTCTGTTACGTGGCTTGTTCATTCATTGGGGCTTCAGTTTCAAATCCAGTGCAAAGAGCAAACATGAAGGTTCGGTATCGAATTACTATGGCGACCCAGACGAACATAAGCCGACCAACAGCCCATAAGTGAAAAACTGGACTGAACTGAGAACCAATGGTTCTCTATCCGTGTTGCTCCCATTTTTTCAGTCGTTGCGCCGCTATTTCGTCGCAGTGATCACCAGACCTATAGTCGGATTTTGAAGCTTGTCCTCCCCCTAGCTTTAGTTGTTCTTATCCTATCTCCCCCACCCAGTTCTACTCAGTCTGTTGCAGAGATGGGCCACGAAAGCTGCTACTCACCCACAGACGTACGTAGCTGCTTGCATGGGCGCGGCCCGCTCACAGTACCGCCGCTCCTAGTGGCTTGTGCGGGGTGTGTGCACGAATGTGAGAAGTGTGCAGTGTGTGTGGTCGTCGTGTCAATGATTTATTTCACGATGGCCTGACCGATTCACTTCTTTATTGGGAGGCGCTCTACTGTCCTAGATACAAACCCACTACGGAAGGTGTTACTTGCATGCCACATGATGTAGGCAAGCCCTTTATCGATTCTTTCCAATTCCCGTCACCAACTCTGCGTAAGCTGACCTTAATTGTTCGAAAAGCCAGAGCGGAGCGGTCCGACCATAGCGACTGGATATGACGAGCAGGGTGTGGGATTGATCACGATCGACCCCAAACCCCCGGTGGGATGGCATTACAACCAGACAACGCGAGGGGACTGAAGCACACACTAAATACCGGTCGAGTGTCGAATGCCGTCCGTAAACGGCCTAATGCGCATCGCATGATGGAATAAAGCATCAACACTTACATCCGAACAAACCATAAAAGGGGCACCTCATAATGATGCAACCTAACAGGTTAGCAGACGAGAATGCGGTTTATACTTTCAACAGTGGCTTGGGGAGCTTTGGAAGCGCAACTGTGTGAATATGGCTGTATATATTAGTTGACAGTTATTCACAGAGCACAAGGTAGAGTAGGGTGTCGAAGAATATAGGTGACATACTACAGAGCTAGAGTAGGAAACAGTTTCTGTTATGGATCAGAGTGCTGGTATTGTGAATCTCTTTAGTTTTCTTTTTGCTGCGTCTTTTACGTCGACAAATAAATGAAATGTATTCGTCACTGCTATTGTTTGTCGGTGTTTTGAACATATTTGGACCTTACTGGGTTTTTGTCAATTATTGACTCGTTTCTAGATTCTTAAATTTTTCCTGATTCCACACAGCGAACTCTATCGAATGAAAATTTCAAATTCTTTGTATGACATAGCGGGCCACTTATAACTGAAGGAGCATATGAATGTCTGGTGATTGTCCACCCAGAAAGCGTGGCAAAATAAACAAAGTTCTGCTAATGTGGGAAGCATAATTTCCGGCTGCTTAGGAGGAATTTTCGTTTAATGATTGTCAATGCATTGGGAATAGGTATGAGCATAGTGTCCAATCATATCTCAGGAAAACTAAGCTTACTCTTATCTTTGTAATGTACTACTCATAAGGTTGCTGAAAATCCATCGACAGCCCACGACCGGTTTCGCCCTTCTTGGGGCTCATCAGGTAGGCGCAGTCCCCGGGTTTCTGTCAACCTTATGTTCTACTTGAAACCAAATTGCACGAAATTAGCGAATATACACTCATCTGCAAACTAA